TGGAACTTAAAATTTTTAAAAATAGAATTCAATCACTTGCCAGAATTACTGCAAATGAATATCATAATCTTATGAAGATAATCTGAATATTAACAAATCTACTCAAAATAAGTTATTAAAGATTTATGAAGATTGGAATAAGATATATATTTTAAGTCGTTATGAAGAATTTACTGATAATGACTTAAAAGATTTTGAGGTATGTATATATTTTGCAACCATGCAAATTAATTTGAAATATTAAAATATTTAATTACTGTAAATCGTCGAAAATAAGCACCCTTTTTAATATATAGAGTGTGATTATTTTCGAGTAAAATTTTTAAATGATCTTCACCAAAAATTTCCGATTATATGTATTTTTAGCCAATTAAATTTCATAAAAAAATGTTCATATATATGCATATTTAAGGGCTCAAGTTATATCACTTTTCCCAACATAGTTTAAAATGTTTTTTAAGAATATAACGTTTTACTCATTCTACTAACAAAAAACAAATTTTAATTATTTTAGAACATTAAAATTTAATATGCAAAACGATTCCAAAGTAATCCTAAAGTAGCTATTTTGCTTAGAAGACAAATGCATTAATATTTATTGCTATTGCTAGTTATAATAGCTCTACGTACATAAGTACTGAAAGCAAAGTAAGTTAATTTCATTTAAATATATAATTATATATTAATCTAAAATTATGTAGAGTTAAGTTGTTAGATAGATATACAAACTTGGGATATGTGTAGATAAATACATATACGTACGTACGTATGTAGTATGTATTGCTGTATTACTTAATGTATAGACCCGAAATGCATCATTTGTTTAAGGTACGTATATACATACGTACAGTACAGTACATTCAGAAAGTATATCACTGGTATACAAAAGAAGCACATATGGAATAGACTAAAAGATATGTAGAATGCAGCAATGAAGACCATCCCAAGAACATATGAAAAATTGAAACCAACACTTTTAGAGGAATATGAAAGGCTAAATGCATCGATTTTCATAAATTTAATCAACAGTATTCCAAATCATACTGCTGAAGTATTGTAATGATATATTGCTGAATTGATATATCGATATTTATTATTAATTTGCTAAGCAACAAATTTACATGTTTAGAAAATTTATGTTGTTTTTTGTATAACTGCGATATATTTTCTGAGAGTACTGTACGTACGTACGAGTCAAAAATGGTATTATTACTAAATATTTACAATTTAAAAGTATGTCATTCTATAGGCACAATATTATATAACAGTAATGTAAAAATAAATTTATGGATTTTCTCAGTGTAGCCAACAAAAATCTCGGGTACGTAATGATTAAAAATATGATTATGTTAGGGTTGGCTTATTTTAAAGTTAGGCGTTAGTAGAGTATAGGAGTAGAATCTTCTAAGCAAGACTTTTGTTAGAGTACTAAAGGTGGTTACTTATGTAGATTTTTAAGTTATGAGTGATTCTTGACAAAACAAACGTTTCTTTGAATGTACTACATTACACCAAATAGCAATTTCAAGATTTTTTGTTGGCTACACTGAAAGAATTTAAATTTATGCATATAAGCGCATGAGCATAGTCCTATAAAAGCCTTTTACCCCCTCATAGTACATATATACTATTTCAAGAAACTTATTCCAGTCATAATTAAAGATATCGAAAGGGTGAAATAATTTTATTACTATTGGTGAAATTGGCATTAATTGGTGAAATTTAATTTTACCAGCATCACTAATAATAATAACAAGGCGGCTATGCGAAACTATGGTCATATGAGGTATTTCTTTTATATAGAAATAGACTAGACATCTTTAAAGACAAAAAATGACATTTGAATGATGTTTGAAATCTGCTGCAACTGATATAGGTGTCACCAGAGATTAAAAGGCATCTGAGTAGTACTCAAAAATAAAAACATTTGAGAAGCATCTAAGTTTACCAAAAATAGGTTCTTTAAAAGACCATAAGTTGTTAAATAATATTATAATGTAGAGACATTTGAATATTACTTGAAATCCGCTAAATATGGGATAAGATAAATCAAAAAATCATTTTAAAGATATAAGACTTATAAGAAAATCTCTAAGTCATCCCAAATCACTATTTAAATAGACAGTCTAAATAACATTTGTTAACAATAATGCATATGATGGGGTTAGAAACCAGTTTCATTATAGACTTAAAATTGTTCATTAAAAAAGCCTTTAAAGAATTTTAAACTGCCAAAAGATGGTAATTTAAATAGTCAATAATGCACTTTAATCATGCTATTATATTAGCAAAAAAAAAGAAAGATATTTAATGTGTATAAAATTTGCATAATCTATAAAAAGAACAAAAAAAATATAAGAAAAATTCTAGAATTAAATGCTACATACAGGCAATGAAGCCTTGACTAAATCGAAATGCAAAAAATTTTCAGCTATTTAAAAGAAATTTGTAAGATTAAAAAGAACAGTATTAGAATTGTTGAGAACAAAAAAGGTTAGGTTTATCTAAAAAAATATACGCTATAATAATCCAGAACGTGTTCTGTACTGATGCATTATTGGGTCTAATTTTAAGGATTTATTCAAATATGTGAGTGATGCTTATAATATGTTATATATATATTTACTATTTACTATTTAATTTAATTCTATTTAAATCTTTAATGCTGCAGTTAAAACAAATTAACACTCCTACGCCGATATGGTTTGATTGTAATTATCCAACCAAAAAAATATAAAAAAAAAAAAAAATCTCATGAATCGCAAATTCGAAAATTACTGGTGCACAATTCTTGATATTACGCAAATTACATCATGAAAAGCTATATAAATACTAGTTACGAAAATTAATGAGTAACCAAAACATGTCATCTACAAAATGCAAAAGTTATATTGTTAAGCAAAAGCTTGAAATTATTTCAAAGGTAAAAGAAATATCTAATAAGGAAGCAGCGCGCATATTTGGTATCGATCATTCTCGAGTGTCAAGATGGTGAAAAAAAGAAAAAAAATTAGAAGAAGCAATGTGTTCATATCAAAGTATTGGTTCTGGAAAGAAAGCCGCATATCCTCTTGCGGAGAAAGTGTTAAGTCAATGGATCGTTCAATTACATCAAGATGGAATTGCAGTAACACTGTCCGCAATAAAACTTAAAATGATAGAGCTTCTTAGAACCAGATTTCAGCATGAGTATCCTGATGCCTTAGAAGTTTTTGAAGCCTCAAATAGTTGGTGTCAAGGATTTATGAAATGATATGATCTTGTACTTAGACACCACACAAAAGTTGGACAAAAACTTCCCTGTGACTTATCCGAACAATTAGATAATTTTTATAATTTTATTAAGAAGTCACAATGTATAAATAACTATAAACTATCTTCCATTGCAAATATGGATGAAACATCCATTTATTTTGATATGGTTGGGAATCTTACTGTAGACCACCGTTTAGAAAAACAGTCCAAATCAGAACCACAAGCAATGAAAAGAATCGGTTCACATGTGTTCTTGCAATACTAGCCAATAGAGTTAAACTTCCTTCTATGATAATCTTTAAAGATAAAAGGCTTCCTAGAAGTCCTTTTTCCTTGGATATCATTATTACAATGCAAGAAAATAGGTGAATGAATGAAATTTTAATGAATAAATAATTAGATGAAGTTTGGAGAAGAAGGTTTCCAACATATGAACAAAAACGTAGCCTATTAGTTGATGGACTCTTTTGAAGGACATCTTACGGAATCTGTTATGGAAAAGTATAAAGAAATGAATACAATTAGAAGAATTATTCCTAGTGGTCTTATTTCATTAGTTTAGTCGCTTGATGTGTGTATCAACAAACCATTCAAGAACCGTATGAGAGAAAAATAGCAGAATTGGATAGCGTTTGGTGGTTTTGAATTTACAAAGAGGGGAAATTTAAAAAAGCCTCTGTATAATCTTATTTGTCAATGGATAATTAAATCGTGGAGTGATATTTCAGCTGATATAATTATTAATTAATTTAAAAAATATGGCATTTCTAATAGTATTAAAAGAGAATCCAAGAAGCAAATTGTAATTCCAGTAGAGAATGACAAAAACTATCTGATTATTTATATTAAAAATTTAGAGAATATGCCCGTATACTGGTTAGTAAGTATTTTTTTATTATATATATAATAATAATAAGTTAATTTACTTATTTTATTATTAGATAATGCAATAAAATCAAATGTTGAATAAGATATAACAAAATATCTTTGACTGTAGTTCATTTTATTATGAATTGAAAATACTAGTAGCATATAAATCTTGGTGAATTATATACAATACAGTGTAAAACTACAATAAAGCTGTTGCATTTACAATTATAAAGCATTTTTTTAAATGGTGATTATTAAAAATTAATTATAATATTTCATAAAATTTAATTTGAACATTCATGTAAAATTGTATAATCTCCGGTAAAATAGAATTAATATTGCAATATCTTCGGTAAAATTGAATTGTACGATTGTATTTGATTGATTCTTAGCTATAATACTGAAGCCACATAATATTTATAAATCATTTGTAAATCTTTACATATATCACTTAATCTTAATAATCAATAATTTTTGTCTATATGAGGTAGACAATGATAAACTAAGCCAATTCCAAACCAAAACTTCTAAACTAAATCAATATAAATTGTCGGTGATGATCTGAAATTTTAACTTATTTTATTATGAAAATTTAAAATTTTTTTGGGTATTTTGATCAGCTTTTTTTTATAGTTTGATTAGAATTTAGATTAGTGTTTATAATAAAAGAGTATATAGATAGATTTTAGTAGAGTTTATATTTACAAATTAAGATCCCAAATTTCAGTATTATGACGAATGCTTTACTGAATTCTTTTTTTCGTTAGGATTAGAGTTGGTAGATATTAATTAAGGTGGTTGCATGTTAATATCTAAACATAAGTATTGTGTAATTGTAGACATTGATCGACTCAATCAATTTAAAATATATTGATCAATCAGCAAATCTTTACATGATATAAATTAAAATACTTTTTTTATTATTAAACACGTATAACCAGTGGTATACATTGGACAAAATTAGACACCTTTGGATTAGATGTCCAATCCCACGTCTAATCATGATTCTTAAACATTTTGACAATTGGATCTTGTTGATTTTGAACGAATCCAAATTATTGGATGATTGGGCATAATGACACTCATCATTTTTTATAACAAATTTACATTGTCTTTAGCAGGTATCAAATACTATTACCTTTTGCTATAACAGTTTTAATAACAAAAGCTCTAAAATTACATCATTTATCTGAATATCAACCATATGCTTATGTCTTCTTCACCTATACCTATATCTTCGTTAAAGTAAAGTTTAATACTATATCACTTATTTGAATTCACACTTTCAGCAGATTTTAAAACCCATTCATATGCCTTTTTATTCTTACGTTTTGTAATAACAGAATGTTAAGCAGAAATCAAATTGTGTCAACACCAATTTCTAACTATTACAATGTTAGATTTCAATTAGACAGCTAAGCTCCTCTCGTTCATACCTAGTTATTAAGCATGCACCAAATATCCGAAGTGAATCAAAACCTTTCAGCCCAAATAGCTACAGGTTTTCTCATAAAGCTTATTAGCTTTGAGCCTGGTCTGAATTGTCTAAGAAAAACTAAAAACTGACTGCCTTATCTAAATTGTGAAAAAAAAACCAAGGCTTAGTAAAGTTTCTATCTCAATAACCTGAACTGTGAAAATTGAAACTTTCAACCTGAATGTAAAAAACCCAAGGCTTTATAAACTGTTCATGGTCTAAATTATGATCAACAGTAAAAGAGCTATAATTTAATATACTATTCACAGGAGATCAGAATTGCACAAAACCCAAGACTTAGTAATATTGCCTACCTTTTACATAAGTCTCAGAAAATCAAATTTCATATAATTTTCATAGTGTTATGTATAGGAGTTTCACAGATCAATATGGTATGGATGAGCAGAACAGTATGGTACAGGCCAAATTTTATATAGTACAGGTCGAATTATAAAATCTATACCATATTGATCTGATGTTATATATATTAGCATTAGGGTTAGAAATTATAGCTGATTAGTATAGTAAACTATTTAATTTCAGCCTATACCATACTAATCTGCTGTAATCCCGTTATACATAAAGTACTAAATTTAAAAAGTTTGATCAGTATCATTGTATTAGTTGATTTAAATATGCTATCCGAATTGTAACTCCTAGATCGCCGAAAATTTAATCTAAAAAACTAAATATTATGTGTTCAAAATTACAAAATATATGAAAATTAATTTACGCAAAATTGCAGTAATTTTACATCCTTACCGGAATGCATAAATTGTAAACACTAAGATTTAGTAAAGCTAATCTGAAAGTAAACTGTAAAAAAGTAATATAAATAGCCAGATAAAAGCTTTACCATAATAGTAAACCTTCTATATACTATACCTGAATACAAATCAAAGCCTCCTATATACTATATCCGAATGTGAATTTGAAGAATTTACAATAACCGAATGTAAACATCTGGACAGCCCATTAGAAATGAAAAATATATGTTGTGCCTCAGGATAATACTTGCTTCAGATCACAGCTTATATGTAGTTAAACTGTGATCTGATGAAAGT